AATTGAAAGCAAGAAAAAATGTTTAAAAAAACTCAATTGGTGGCTTCTTCATCCTTAGAAAGCTTGAAGAATCTAGCCTTTCATGGTGGTTTTCTCCTTCAATTGAGTTGAGTTTTTTTTTTTTTTTCAATTGATGGCTTCCATGGCTTCAAGTCTTGATTAAGAAGAGGAGATTGTGGCTTGAAAGTGAGAGAAAATGGGGAAGTGCCCAGAAGAATGATGCTAAAAAATGAAAGAATTGAGAGAGTGAGATGGCAAACCAATGTGTAGAATGAGGAATAGTTGAATGAGTCTTGGCCAAAACATTTCCAATGATGTGGTGGTATGTCAAATTGATAAAATAATATAATTTTTAGGTGATCAAAACCATAGAAAAATTTGAAACAATTAACAAACTTGATTAGGAAATTCAAAAATGAATGTGGACACCACATATTCTAGCTAGGTTAACTTGGTTGCACTTATAACTCTTGTAGGATGCTTACATTTGATTAAAACTCACTAAATGCTTCTAAAAAGATGATCAAAGGGTGATTATTTAGTTGCTTGGTCAAAATCTTCTATGCTTAGAGTCCTTAAAAGACTTTTAGATCAAATCGTGCACACATGTTACTCTAGGTTCTTCTTGCTTTGTACTTTATCGTTGTAATCCAATCTTTTGGCCATTTAATCCTTTTTTAATTCCTTGTTTGCACCTACAATTATTTACACAAGAGTATCAAAGCATGTGTGCAAAATCTCAAATGATAATTCAAGCTCAATTGTAAGATCCAATGCCATTTTTAATGTTATAGGTTACAAAACATGACAATTTAGTATTAATGAATTTTTTAAGAATATTCTATAACTTATATTTTTGATGTCTTTTTTCAATTTATAATGAATTAGAAGATCAAATTTGTTTCATTGTACTTAAGAAAACAAAAGACACAAACTAGGCTAATGTTTTGAAATGTCCCAAAAATGGCCAAAATGATCAAAAATACCCAAAGCTAAGAATGGACCCTAATTGATTCTAAAGGTCTAGAAATGTCTAATTACGCAAGAATTGAATCCCCAAGAATGCAATAATACAAGAAAATCATTATAAAATGTATGTAAATAATGCAATATGCTATCCTTTTATTAAGTATTGGGAAAATTATTAGATGTTGAAGTATTTTATTTTTAAAGCATGCATATTTAATAGAGATAAAGTTAAAAACTTATTAAATTTTTGATGATGAAATTTAATGTTTTTTGGGTTATAATGAAATATGTTTGAAGTGACTAATTATAAATAGGACATGAGGAAATATATTTTTTTAAAAACATCCTAAGAAGAAATCTAAATTATCTATCTCACTCTTGATACATAAAAATATACTCTTACTTATGTCAATTAAATAGGGATAACGTACAATTGGAGAAAAAAATTAATTTTTTCATATCACATAAATTTTAGTAGTACTACTTTAATGCATGTTTTTTGTAAATTAAGACCTATATTTAGGGGTATTCATGAATGGAACAAAATTAAGATAGCCTGTCTCGTGTCTTGTCTTGAAAATTAAATAAGACTATTCTTTTGTCTCATGTCTCATCTTGTCTTGTTTAGAATTGAAACGAGAGAGACTAGGATGTCTCATTAAAACATACAAAACATGAAAGGAAATTGAGACAATGATATTTATTAGATCATATAACATGTAAGTCTAAAACCAAAAAATAAGAGTAAATAAATTCAATTTTTGAGCTAGAGCAACTACTTTTTTCAATTCAAAATATAAGTGATTTTTTAAAAAAATTCACATACCAATAAAGTACCAATTTCCATAAAAAAATATATAGTATTGTTCCTTTTTATCCATAATCCCAATTATCAATACATATGATGATAATAAGAGACACTTATATAAAGATTTAAGTTATAAATACAATGGTTAAAATAATTTTTTTTACATATACTAGATTGTTGACATTTTAAACCAAAATTAGTTAATAAGTTTTTATATTTTAGATTGAAGGAAGTACAATTTAAAGTAAAATAACACAATCACAATTCACAGCAACCACAACAGTCAAGTACAAATGAACTTCTACAATAATAATAATATAATCATAGAGTTACATCACTTAAATGAGCATGTGGTTATCTAAAAAGAAAGTAAAATAATAATACACACACATACTACAACTATAAATGAAGAAATAAAGTTTCAAATATTAATAAAAGAAAACTAATTAAAAAATATAATAATATATTTAGAAAGGGACATTTTATTGTAATTTTGTGTCCCATCTCAATTTAAAAATATTTTTATATTTTTTTTTTCAGGGGTCGGGACAAACCAAAAAAAGAAAAGAAAAGAAAACAAATCAACAGCACGTCGCTTTCTCGACCATGGTAGAAGAGTTTAATGTTTGGTTGCTATATATTAATCATTTTAAGATTCTTGTCGAGAAGTGTAACTATCGCTTAAAATGAAATCTCAATGACTCATTTTTCTTAATATATAAAACTCAATAACTCTTATTATCTCAATCTGATAATTCAATGTCCTCTTGCATAGTTTGTCTAAATTACTGAGCATGATACGATGTACTTCATTTTCTTTTTTAAATTTAAAAACATTAAAAATTATATAATAAAAATAATTTCTGAAAAGAAAGAATAATTTCACCAAATAAAAATTTTCATTTCATGACACAGTAATATATTAATAAAATATACTTTATCAAAATGAAATTGATTGATTTAAGATAACAAAATAATTTAGAATGATATGGTTGAATATTTTAAACATTAAGATAAATTTGGAATCAAATAAAATTTCAGTACATTTTTAGCAAGCCATATTTGTAATTTTATATCATTATTTTTCACATAATTAAAGCGGGCCCGAATAACCTAACAATACTTAAATTTAAATTAAGCTGTAGTACCAGGAAGTTTTACGCAGAAAAAAAAAACCTTTATATTTACATAAAACTTAAATTTTTTTTAATGAAAATGTAGATTCAAAACCGTTAATCAATGTGAGTATTTTATTAATAAGTAATATGAAAATATCTTTGCACTGGTCACTATCCCATGCCTTTTCAGTTTTTCTTGTAATTATTTAATTGTGGAAAAATATTTATATATCATTTCTAAAACCATCCATATCATCCCAACTTAATATCCCATTAAAATCAATAAAAAAAAGATTAACCCGAACTTCTCACAAAATAGTTTTCATATATCCTAGCTTAAAAAAAAAGCCTCAATGCCAAAAATCCTCTTAAATAATATCTAACAAAAAAAAAATCCTAAAAACATGATTCTGCATCTGTTAAACCAATATTAAAGAATTCAGTAAAATCTGTTGGCTAGGAAAGTTCAGTAAAAAGACAATCTTACCCTAAAAAGCAAGAGAATAAGATACGCGGTTCATCGATATCGTTACTTATACAACAGTAACACTTGTGCAATCCCTTTTTTCCAAAAAAATTAAAATAAAATAAAATAAATAAAAACATTTCTGATTATTTCACCAAAATAAAAAACAAGTAATTAATTTATTAAATTTATCAAAAAAATATATTAAACTCTCAATTTCACTCCTATTTAAATAAAAAATTAAATTTTTATTACATTATTTTTTATCGATAATAAAATTAAATAGAAATAATTTAAACTATAATTAATATCCATCAAGACATAACATTAAAAAATAAAAAAAATTTCTGGAAAATACACTATCATTTGAACAGGATGGAGTAATTTATTTGCCTGAATTAATTAAAAACAAGTTTTTTTTAGCCAAAGAATTTCCATAAATTGATTCAAGTGTTCATCCTAGTTAATTTTTTATTATTTATTTATATTTTTTTATTAGAGACAATCACGTTTAATATATAGTTATACATTTAAATTCAGTAAGTAACTTAAGTATGCTTACTCAACAAATATCTCATGTGATACAATATTAATGATTTGATTTATTTAACCTAATGACAGTCAATAATTTTATCATATACTCCATATAGTCTCATTTATAAGTCATATCTTAAAAGATTCATTTGATCTCATTTATAAATCACGTTGTGACTTTTTAGGTAATATTTAAAAAGTATTTTTAAAATTAATCTTCATGAAATTACTTTAAATTTATTACATAAGGATATGTTTGAAGTTCTACTCACTTTTACTCCTTATATTTTTTTTTTGCATTGATATTGATAAGATTGATAGAAATGATTTATAAAGAGGATTGAAAGAATAACATTTAAAAAATATTAAATCTCAAATTTTTTTCCAAAATTATTATAAATAAGGAGAATTTTGATCATATAAATTATTTTAATTTTTTTTACAAAATATATTTTAATAATTTTTAAATATTAATAAATTTTAATGATCGCAAATGAAACCCATATTTTTTTTAATGAGTGTACTCCTCCGATCCAGTATATAAGTCACTTTCTAGAAGCATAATCTGATACATTTTATAAATTATTTATTGATGAGATTGTTTTGTTTTAAATTAAAATTCTCAAATTATCCTTAAAAAGTAAGATGAAGAAAAATAAAAAAATAATATTATATTATTGACTTACTTTTTACTTTTTACTTAAAAATTATGTTTGAAATTTACTTATTTTTATTCTTTATATTTTTATTATATTAATATTAATAAAATTAATAAAAATAATTTATAAATATGATCAAAAGTATATTTATTTATGACACTAAATGTTAGCACATTTTTGGAGAATCAAATCACGGTTCGTCATTGTACAAGAGACTAGTTCTTCTACTATATCTAGGCCCGATTAATCTCATTAATGCACAGGATTTCACTTTTCTAGGAACGAATATGCGGTATGTATGTGAGGGATTTGTGTACGTGGCGAAAGCTGAGGGCTTGTGCGCATGGCGCACAAAGGCTCAAGCTAGTGGGGGTGGCTGCGATTTCCTCATTTCCTCACTCTCATTATTGTCGTTATCTTGATAGCCAGCCATGTCTGTGCGCAGTATCGGCTTAGCATAGGTGGAGAGCTGACAACAGATAATACTTTCAAATAAATAATTGCAATAATTAATCCGCTTCGTTAAAAATTCTCTCTTCTGTTCTGCTTTTGCTATGCTACGCTTCAGGGTTGTGCCAATTACTTACCAGTGCCTTCCTCGTTCCCTAGCCTTCCTCATCGAGTAAAACTGATGGCAGATTGTTTCATGCAAAAGATCCTATTTTTTAGTGACCCAAATCGTCAGTTATTTATGCCAACACATTAAATTTATGTGTTAGATCTTCTGGGCCTTACTATTCAGCGGATCTCAGATTCGGTTTTGGGATTCTTCTCCAAATTTGTTTTCTTTCTGAATTGTTTCTGGAAGCTGATAAAGTCTGGTTTTAAGTTTTCAACGAGAGAACTCAAGGAAAGCGCGTATTTTCTGTGTTCAGGAAATTATCAGCTTGAAAAAGTGGAAGCAAGTACTTCGTACATTGCTTTATTTATGTTGATTGATTGCTTTTGATTTTATGGGTTAGGAATTTTTTCTTTTGGTTATTTGCTTTTCTCCTCATACCCTCATCCTGTCGATTGTTGCTTTTACTTCAGCAGCTGTTTTAGCTTGATTGGAAGTCATAAACTAGGAACATCTCTCCCAGCCTAGCTCTGAAACTTTTTGGTTCTTTGAGCTTCTGGGTGGGAATATGGAGGGCAAGAGGAAGAAGGAATGGCCAGAGTCAAACGATTCAAATCGAGCAACAACTTTTCCTGACGAGGTTCTGGAACGGCTTTTAAGTCTGCTAAAATCACACAAAGATCGAAGCTCTGTTTCCTTGGTTTGTAAAGACTGGTATAACGCTGAACGATGGTCTAGAAGTCATGTGTTCATTGGAAACTGTTATTCTGTGTCTCCTGAGATCTTGACCCGGCGGTTCCCAAACATACGTTGTGTGACATTAAAAGGGAAGCCTCGTTTCTCGGATTTCAACTTGGTTCCTCCTAATTGGGGAGCTGATATTCATTCATGGCTCATGGTGTTTGCGAAGAAATATCCATTGCTTCAGGAGTTGAGGCTCAAGAGGATGGCTGTGACTGATGAGAGCCTGGAGTTTCTGTCTCTCTCCTTTCCCAATTTCAAAGCTCTTTCACTTCTGAGTTGTGATGGATTCAGCACTGATGGATTGGCTGCGATTGCCACTAATTGCAAGTAAGAATTACTTCCAAGTCCTTGTTCTGAAAATATAAATTTTGCGATTCATTTCTGAAACCTTTGTCTTCATTGACATATTGCTTTTGCCTCGTTTGTTATTCATTTCCTTTGAACAGTTTAACGCTGTGAAATTCAAGAATCACACAGTATTAATAAATCACTGTTTCATTTGATGCGCGCTTAACTTTTCTTGTTTTTCATTAATCTGGTGATATTATTGTTTCATATGAAATCTTTTCTTATCATATGGAGAAAGGGAGCGGGCTTTCCTGCTTACAGTTGTGGATATGCAGATATCAGTTACACTATTTTGTAACATGCCCCCTTGTTCAGTTTCTTTATTGATGAGACGTTTTGCCTGTAATGCAATATTTGATGGACATTTTTATCTCGATACACCCATCACTTTCCCCCACTTTTTTTTTTTTTTTTCGGGGAAGATGAAACAATAAAATGTTCAAATCTATATGTTTTGGGCTTGCTTATGATTTACATTACTGTCGAAGTTGTGAGTCTCTTCTAGAGTCTCAGATATTTTGTCATAGATATCAGTGCTCCGTGCTCTCATGAATAGTTAGAGCACTATATGAGATTATAAAGTACAGATTATGCGAATCTTATGGTTTGCATCTTATTGTGACACAAATAGAGTCCAATCAACTATCATAGATTTTTAAGCTTTGACAAAATTTCAGTGTGTTTGCTTAAAATCGAATTGAAGTTTTTCCACTGGTTTGCTGAATATCTCTGCTATTGTTTAGTGCTGTTGTCATGAATCCAGTAAACCAACAAGGCGACATATTGGTGTGCATATTCTTTATGTTTTATATGTTTATATGTTCTCCTTATCTTGTGCCTTTTTGTAACATCAACAGTATATTAAGGAATATCATCCATGCAAACAAAATTCAAGTCCCTCTGTGCATGTGCGTGCGTGCGTGTATTATATTCCTTTTCTTTTCCAAATTTTGAAGTGGTCAACTCACTTATATTTGATAGAAGTTTCTGTTTAATGTGGTTTTAGGACAAAAAGGTTGGAAGTCAGTTGTGTGAATTCTTGTTTAGGATTTTGGTGGCACATGTAACTTCATATTATATCATATGCTTCATTTCCCCTTCCTTTTTTAGATGAAGGAAGGCTAGTTTTGTTGTATGCGTTTGATTATGGGGTTTACTTACATTCTTCTGATGGAAACCTCTATCAGCTTAGAAAATTACCATTTTGGAACTAATGCTTTTGGATAGTGCACCAGCGTGAATTGATGCCCCTACTGTTCAAGAATTGAACCTTTTTTAATCCATGTTTGCATTTCATGTTCCAATAAAATTTCATAATGTAGTATATGTTGGTTTGCAGATTTTTCTCCATAATTTATTTATTTATTTATTTATGAGATTCTCTTTTAGAGCTTGATGTTTGATTGCCATGATGGTGCTTAAATATCATTTCCTATTGGTGTAATCTTTATGCATCAACTTTGGTAGTGGAAACAGAATCCCTCTGTAAAGCTTTTCCCTTTAGATATGCTGATGAAAAAGAAAAAAGGTTTTTTTTTTTTTTTGGGGGGGGGGTCCTTTTCTGTATGATGTAATTTGACGATTGGGAATAAACTGAGTGGCAACATGGTAATATTCCTTATCTATGCCCACAAAAACTGTAGCTAAGACCCAGGGAATCAACTAACATTTATTCTTCTAGAAAGCGATGTGAATAGGCTTAGTTGATTCAAATTGTATGACTGAGGATCTGGTCATTTAGCAGGTGGAGTAAAGTTGGCATCACTCTTACATTATGGTTAATTCTATAGATCAATAAGTGAAAAGGAAAAAACTCATCAGTTTAAAGATCAATTGGTTGGAATGCATTTAGATTAGGGAATCTATGGAATGTTCTGCAGAACTTTGCAATCCTAGCAATTACAATCTCAAATTGCATAATCTCTCTGTAAATTGCATAATAATATATGCAAGCACCTATCTGATTTGGCCTGGGGTTTATGCAAATTTGTCAACCTCTAACATGGCCATATATATAGGCATTCTCCCCAGACAATGTTAGATGTAGCTGTATATCTGTTAATATGCGGTTGGATTAACTACGTTATGGCTATGCATATTAAGCCTGATATAAATAGGTATTGTGCAATTTGCTTGTAAATGTCTAATCATAAAGGTATGCTTTGACATGACACCTTGTATAGGCCAAATAATTTTTTTTTTTAAGTTCGCAGTACTGGGTGAAACTTTAAGGATTCATTTACACTTCTTTCTACAAGCCTTTTAATGTACGGACCCATTGCTGCATTTGACTCATGATAATCTTCTGCATTCTACTTGGTTGCAGGAACTTAGCAGAGCTTGACATACAGGAGAATGGCATTGAAGATAGAAATGGTAATTGGCTGAGTTGCTTCCCTGAGAGCTTCACATCACTGGAAGTACTTAACTTTGCCAACCTGCACAGCGACGTAAATTTCGATGCACTTGAGAGACTTGTCAGTAGGTGCAAATCATTGAAGACGTTGAAAGTTAACAAAAGCATAACATTGGAGCAGTTACAGAAGTTACTAGTTCATGCTCCTCAATTAGTAGAGCTCGGTACTGGCACATTTTCACAGGAGCTGACTGCGCAGCAGTACTCTGGGCTGGAAAATGCATTCAGCAATTGTAAAAATATTCACACCCTTTCTGGTTTATGGGCAGCTCCAACGCAATATCTCCCAGTTCTCTACCCTGCTTGCACAAATCTCATTTTCTTGAATTTGAGTTATTCTACCTTTGATGGTGATGACCTTGCTAAACTACTTGTCCACTGTCCAAATCTTAGGCGCCTCTGGGTATGTGATTTGATCTGTCTTCTTTCACATATAGTTTCATTTTTTACAGAACTTTCAGAAATAGAAATCAGCATGCCTTCTCTCTCTTTTGTTATTAATTAATGTTTTATTCATTCCATTTGAGAAATCTAGATTGATAAAATAATTAAACAGTGAAATGTTTAACCCCTTAGAGTAGTTGTACCGTTCGCCATGTAAGTTAACAAATCTTCACAGATAGCTCCAGGCATGTTCATTGTCATGTGTTTCTGTTTTCCCCTATCAGTATAGCAGTGTCCTCTCTCTCTTTTACACACACTTGTGCGCGCACACTGGCCTAGGAACAACTACCTTCCTGATTAAATATCTGAAACAGGTCTTGGACACAGTGGAAGACAAGGGGCTGGAAGCTGTTGGATCGTACTGTCCTTTGCTTGAGGAACTACGTGTTTTTCCTGCAGATCCCTTTGATGAAGGCATTGTCCATGGCGTTACTGAAGGAGGGTTTATTGCTGTGTCTAGGGGATGTCCGAGACTGCATTATGTCCTCTACTTTTGCCGTCAAATGACTAACGCTGCTGTAGCAACTGTTGTTCAAAACTGCCCAGACTTCACACATTTTCGTCTCTGTATAATGAACCCACGTCAGCCAGATTACCTAACAGATGAGCCTATGGATGAGGCTTTTGGGGCAGTTGTAAAGACTTGCACAAAACTCCAGAGGCTTGCAGTATCAGGTTTGTTGACTGACCTGACATTTGAGTACATAGGGAAGCATGCCAAAAACTTGGAAACACTTTCAGTGGCATTTGCTGGAAGCAGTGATTGGGGTATGCAATGTGTGATGGAAGGCTGTCCAAAGCTGAGAAAGCTGGAGATAAGGGATAGTCCTTTTGGCAACGCAGCACTTCTATCGGGTTTGGAGAAGTATGAATCCATGAGGTCATTGTGGATGTCAGACTGCAACGTGACAATGAATGGCGCTAGATTGTTGGCCAAAGAAATGCCTAGGTTGAATGTTGAAGTGATAAAGGAAGAAGGAGTTGATAATAGTAAAGCTGATAAAGTTTATGTTTATCGTTCCGTTGCTGGTCCAAGAAGGGATGCCCCTCCCTTTGTTCTCACCCTCTGAATGATACAAGTACGCCTATGAAGATCATGAAGTGCTCGGTAATCTCTCTTTACTGCTTAGACACACAACGGATGCACAGTCATTAGTACACTAACTACCCCATTCACTGGAATTAAAGTGACACGGTGTTAATCCTTGATTTCAATTCACCTATTTCCTTTTGAGTTAATGAACTAGGTATAGTTTAAACCTAATTCAATATAGACATGTATAAATGTTTATTCTACTATAGTACTAATTTAATGTTCATGCAGGCTAGAGTAAGTGTTAGTGAGAGCCGAATTGGTATTTGAAACCCTCCTCAGAATGCTCTTCCAAGTTTTAAGATTCAATCTACTTATTCAAAAGTTCTAGTTCTTGTTTCAATTAATTCCATTTGCAAAAAACTTGTTTTGCAGCCTGTGGAAAATTCTGGCGGCACAGCCCACATGCAGACACCAGCATTGATGATCATGCCACAATGGTATCTTTATGACATGTGAATGTCCTTCGATTGCTTACAGACAACAATGTCAAGTCCTGAGGATTAGAGAAGAAGGAATTTGAAGGAGGCTTATGTGATGGTGCTTGGTTGTCTCGTTGAGGTCAATAATATCTCTAGGCTGTGCTGCACAGTGAAGACACATTTTCAACCCTTCTTTTTAATTACCTGAGACTAAATTCTTTTCTTGAGCAGTATTAAGGATTTTATGTATCTAGGATTGTACTCCGTAAATGAAGACACTTGGTTGACAGATTAACATCTCAATGCAGAGAACATCAACTTTTTCCTTCTGGTCAGCTGCAAAAATCAGAGAGTGAGAGAGAGAAATAAGGTGATTGATTGATCAGAAGGTGCCATGGAGAAAAAGTTGATCTCGTGGGACTTCATGGTTGATCAGAATGTACTCTAATACTCTAGACAACTTGAAGAGCATGTCATGTGAGAAATAATTCTTATTTATATTATATATAAAAGAAATGTTGAATAAATTCTCTGGTGGCTGTCAAAGTTGTACAATTTTTCTTTGCTTTATATGCCCTAATGTGATTTTAAGGCCTTGTGTGGTGTAAAGTATTGAATTTTGTGGGATTGGTAATGGGATTGGATCTGAAAATAAGGATTTAAATTCATGTTTGGTATGTGGGATTAAAAAAAAATAATAGGCAACAAAAACTAGCTAAAGACCTAACTACCCTTATCTTCCTTCTTATTGGCTTCAACTTATGTTTGCTCCATCTTCCTCATCTTCTTCCTTCTTAGCTTCATTCCTCACGCCCACAGTCTCTCTCACACCCACGTTTGCGCTCGGCACCACTGCAATTGTCTTCACTCGAGTCTCTGCGTTGTCGATGGTGGCCAATGAGCAATCCAGATTTGGGTGAATGATTCAGGCTCGCGACTTTGTATCTTCAGATTTGCTAGTTCTAGCGTCGCCTTTGTTCTTCATCTTCCTAGTTCTAGCATCGTCGTTGTGCCTATGTGTGGTTGTGGGAAGCACGATGAAGGAGGTCGACAGATGGTAGTGGCAGAGATATGAGAGGCGAGGGGTGGGGGGTAGAGGGAGAGACGATAGAGGTGAGAGAGATGGAGGGTATTTTTGTCAAAAAATAATCAATCCATGATTGATTTTTTAGTACCAAGAGGTGGGTGATATTGGGTAATCCCACTTAGATGGGTTTGGGCTTGGGATTAAAATTCTTATTCCCTTATACCAAACATAAAAACTTGACATTAGTCAATGTCAATACCAATCCCACTCCCTCATTCCTTTGTCCCAAACAGGGCCTAAGGTCCTTGCGTTTGGTTGCATGCTTGCATCCATCCATCTTATGGAATTCAAAACTAACCTATGAAACATTGCGCTTTCACATCATTCATAATTTGAGCTGCTCAAAGCTATGAGAGTCTTCGTTGACACAAGTGCCTAGCACAACTCATTCATGGTTTGTGCTACAAATCTCTTGTTAGGTTGGAAAAATTACACACACACACACGAAGCTGTAGATGTAAAAAGTGCAGCTTCTCATAGATTCATTAGGTGCGAGGAGTTATAATTTCTACATGCATAGATAAAAATTTCATAATAAAATTTTATTAGTACAAGTTTAAAAGGAAAGCCTATTTAAATGATTAACTTGTTAGATGAGAGAACTCCTCACATTTATAAATCGAACCCCACTTATGAGATTTCTTGATGTAGGACTCATGACATTATCACCCCCTTTGAGAACCTGATGTCTTAGGTGGCTTCATTCCATGGCACTTCCCTTAAAATCCTACTTGTTAAAACCTTATATGAGTAGCCCTTTCTATAACATTAGTCTTAATGAAAGCACTAATGTTATGATTACAAATTTAAAGGAAAAGCCCATATAAAAAAAAAACTAGTGTGTTAGGTGGGGGATTGTAATATCCCTAAAATTAGGATGCAAAAATAATTAAGACTAATTAGATTGGGATACACAAAACGACACATCTTTAGAGAAACCCCTATAATGAGCCTATTACCACAATCCTACCTCAAGGAATCCTTTACCATACTAGAACTAAAGCCTATCACAACAAAAGGGGCTTCCACCATAGTAAACAAAATATAACAATCCCATTATAAATAAAAATATACTATGAACACTTGGCCAGAAAACCTCATATATAGGAGTACAATTGAAAGACCTTATGTCTAAGTCAAACTAGTCTCACCTTTAAGTGTAGAAAGCAAGTTATAGCTTTCACTTGAAAAATGTTAGAATGAGGGGTGGGGTATGAAATCTCAATAACCAAAGAGGAATCCTAATCTAAATAGGTATACTATAAGACAATATATTTTCATACAAAGAGATACATGCCCAAAAGCATCACATACAAAACCATTCCAAATTAAGGTTCTCAACTTTTAACAAAAGTGTAACCATTTTAAAAGAGTTTTCAATCACTACTAAATCCATTATTTGTCACACAATCATGACATATAATTAACGTCAAATTCCATCTCTACCCAACACTCATCTTCTATAACCCATAGGCTATAGTTTAAAAAGTGCCCCTATAACTAGCCTTTTTATGCAATCCTTAATTAGAGGTTTTCTACATTCTAAGGGGGATCATGGAGTTCACAGTTTAGCCACTATGGTTTAATGAATACCTTTGCCTATTTTCTCTTTTTACTTTCGGGCTGAAGATAGTAGATAAGGAATAATAAGTTTTATATGCTACCTCATTTCCCTTCTTGGTCGTAGGAAAGAATGTAACATCTAAGAAAATTAACCATGATTAGTTAACCCAATTATTTTGATTAGTGAGTTAATAAGGAGTGTGGTCGGAGGGGCTTAACTTAGTATAATTGTGGTGATTTTAGCCCTAAAACCGGATTCAAATTGATGGCGGGCCATCCGGGCAAGGAAAGAGGAAAAAAGAGTGAAAATTTATTATCTATGCCACATGTCGCGGCATGTGATCAGTCTGCCACATTGCATAGATGCAGATTTGAATCCAATGGGCTCCTTTGTGCCATGTGCCACAGTGGAGGGCAGCATGCGCCGTGGTGTATGGCCAAAAATCTAATATATCATATTTGTATCAACGCGAAGAAAATAGAGAAGAGGAAGAGAAAATCAAAGAGCACGACTTTGGCTCTACTAAGGTTTGTTGTTGGAGCATATTGGTGATAGATTGAAGCTCTTAAACACCTAAAGTAAGTAATCTAAGCCTTATTCTTCATTTCTCTCCCTCATTTATGATGACTTATAGTAAGTTTTGAGTTGGAAGGTTGAAATTCGATCCATAGGGGTATGGGGTCCAATTTCATTGGTTGAAATAAGTATAATGAGAGTTGTTTAAGATATTGGAACACTACATTGATGATGTTGGAAATGGTTAGTCCATGTGAGTATTTAATATCCAAAAATTGACATAAATGTGGTAGTTGGGGAGAGGTTTATGTACATTAATGATGGTTTGATATTGTTATCAATGATAATATGCATTAATGAAACCTAAAGAGCTCATTGGGTATGAATGGATAGTGAAGTGTGGGTTGATTAAGTAGAGTGTGTGAAGATTTAGGTTGGTAGAACATCAAAAATGAGATATTGATGGCATTGATTGCTTATATTGTAGTGTGAATCATTTAGCATCATTCAAGCTTAGGAGAAGCTTTGAAAGTTGATATTATAAGGGATAAACATTTGACCTCTCAAAGGTTTGAGGTAACTGAAGGAAACCTAATTTTTTTTATAGTTGAAAGTTAATTATGTTTGTAAAACGTGTTTGATTATTTAAATTAATGATGCATATGGCAATGTGTTCAATCATGAAATGAACTTTTGGAAAGAAAACATTAATTATGTCATTTATTTGTGATTTATCAATTTACTTGTGACATGTTATTATAAAAGTGAAGATTTGTAATATGTGATATGTTAAATATGTAGAGTGATTGAATATGAGTATGTGAGATTGTTTTCCATGAAGTTACGCTTGAAATGCATATTATGTGAAAAATATACATAACATAATCATTAGCAGGAGTTCGCCTAAGGAGAAAAGTAGATTGGTTTAAATCCACGTGGTACTGGCAATAATCGTTGGAATCAAAAACTTGTCTTGGCATCGACCATTAGAATCAGGATGTAGCCTTTGTCCCATGGTTGATTCAGGACTGTCCTACTTGTTTTACAAGGGACTCAAACCTAACTAGTCTTTACCGGTTTGTAAGGAGGTTAGATTAGGGGTACGACACCCCGTGGTGGTTAGTACTGGGGGAAACCAAATTACATAAGTAAGTGAGTTCACCCTGGCCTGATAGCTCTCATAAGTGATAGGTTGAGTTAGTTCGTGAGGGATGTAGTCATGTGATAGCCACCAGTTTCGTGCTAGCGGTAACAGGAGGATATAAGGTTGGCATATAATTGTGCATATAAGACTGGCCACGTGATTATTATTTTGTGGTTTGGCACATGTTAGGGGTGCATGGCCATTATTATTGTGACACCGTGTTATGTTTGCTGAAATATCATGATATTGTGTGTTATGAGTCTATCACGTAGTTGTTAGTTTTATGAACCGTGGCCAAGTGTTTATATGGGATGTCTGTATATTTGCCTAATTGTATCTATTTACAATTGATATGCAATTGTATAAGTTAGGTGAAACTTGGTTACTGAGAAGTTATACTTACCTTTCAATTCTTAATATGCAATCTATGTTGGACAAACACACAGAGGTCTAGGATTATGGAGTAATCCTCTCTATGCCTCTTTTTGTTGTTTTCATGTGTATTTGTTAATGTAATTACCAACTAGAATCATTTGACATGATTTATGCACTACTTACATGATTTTGTATATAATTTGTGTATTTTATGCCTCGAGTTAGTGAGTTTTGGTTGTAAACCTGTGGATACTTGTGAAAGTATAGACATATGTATTTTGAAAGATTTGAGATGAAATTGATGTATTTATGCAACTTTTATTCCCCCATTGTGTTTTGAAAAAATCAGGGTTGAGTGATAGTTTTGTGATAACGTGTTTCTAATTATGTGTGGTATATTGCATGAGTCTGTTGGAGTCTATTGAGTGTGGTTGGATGGTCGATATAAGCTATTTGACATGTGTAGTTGAATTAGGACACTCATTTGAGAAATTTTGTTAAAAAGTGGTCAAAATATGTTTTGGTGTCCAACTTTTTTGGAAAAAGAATTTGAGTATGAAACTAGTGCTATTAGCTAGAGCTAGGAGAAAGCTCCATGTAGGCACCAAAACCACCTCAATCGGACATTGAATAGAGATCTGGGACACATCAAAAGTTTGCTCCTTGTGCTGTCAAATTTGTGTAATACGCCGCGGCGCATGGCACAGAGAAGACAAGCCACAGTGCACATGTCATTTTTTGTACAAAATTTATTTTTGAGTTTTAAAACTCATGATTTTGAGTTCTATTTGATTTTTAAGCTTTCTCAGTTTTCAAACTCTGATTTGAACACTCTTAGAGT